TTGACTTTTCAGTAATAAATAATAGTCATAATCAATAGTTCAACATATTTCTTTGGGGAACAGGCGAGAAGTGGAAGAAATGGATTGGACGACAATTACGTTCTGGGATCTGCGTATCTGCAAGGCACTGTCTTTTTGTTTTCTCTTTTCCTCGGGCAATTTCAAGAAAATTGCCACTGGAGGACACTAACACCGAGCGATTATTTGAATGATAAAAATTCAATATGGCTTAGGTTCTTCCTTCTTATCGAAAAGTAACAAACAATTGCAAGCTTGACAAGCTTGCTTCCCGTTTAATTTAGTATTAACGTCAACATCAGGGACCTTAAGCAGTCAGGATGGCAACGCCTAGGAAGACTTCGATCAAAAAAATGAATTTCTGCCTTTAATTAAATTTAAAAAATGGCTGCATGTGTTTACCGTCTCATACGGCACCACACCTCTACTTCAGCATAACGTAATAAGAGAAGCGTTGAGTTCCAAATGGAAATTAAAATAATTTGCCGTCGCGGTTTCGGTTCGCAGACGACGCAAGTTGTGGTGATTTCATGTTGTTGTTTTGCATAGGACGGCAAAGAAACGTACAAAGTTTTCAAACACACGTGCTAAGCTATTGTTCTGCCAATTGGATCTTTTGTTTTTCCATGCCCTCGTTGCCGTCGCCGTCGTGGTTTGCTTAAGGTCCCTATTACCTGATTTCTCCAAATTCGGGGAAATTTCATTTTCCAAGGCTATACGGTCAAAGCCAAACAAGTCGCTTTTGAGAATTATGGGCTCACTGTAGTAGAACGAGGGTCTTAATGGTGTGATGGCTTTTACGGCTAGCGGTTAAAATTCTGCCTATTTTACGACTAATGGTTAACATCATTCCATGTATGAGTTGTTACCAGAAATTTTTTTTTGAGGTTAATTTTGTTCGCGACTAACAGTTAAAATTACACAATTTTTACGCTTAACAGTTAAATTTTTTTGGCCGTTTTATGGCTCATGGTTAACCTTCTTAAGAACCTCAATCAAACACTGTTACCGCCAATTTTTGATTTGAAAAAATTAAAACTGTGATCAAAAGTATTTAACAAAACTACTGAGAATAGCAACTTGATCAAGTGATTGTGGAAACCATCAGTTTCTTAAATTAAAAAATGCTCAACAATCTTAGCTAATGAGGTTGAAATATACTGAGATATATTGTATAACACCATTACGGTTTGAAGAAAGCAATTTTACGGTGAGGATATGAAGCATCCGTTCGACGCAAAAGTATGCTTATACTATGTACGCAATAACTGGATTTAAGAAAGTTCCAATTTCTCTAAGAAAATAAAAACATCTCTCTTCATGAGCGTGCGGCGTCATTACTTATCTTCTTATGCGAGACAACAAAGCGGATTACGGCGTTTAGAAAAATTTTTACCGCAGAACCCGCCGCTAGTATCCAAAAATTTAGTGAATAGTATCTCGACCATGAAACGCTTGTGTACAAGTAGAAAACGGAAATTCAATTTGAATCAACCGCGATCTCCGAATCGATAAGCGATAAACCCTCCTAAAACAAAGTCAAGTTAATAGCTAGTGCAGATCATAGCCACTGGAAAGCCACGTAATGAAGTACTGCGGATTTCCTATGATATCAGCGTGGGACAGTCTACACCACAAATAGAGGTTTGAATTTAGATTTATGATCATCAAATTGAACGATTCTCAATAACCTTATTTTAATTAATGGGGATAAATTGTGCGGTATAAAGCCACAGAGATTTGAAGAAGTCGCCGTAGAACCAATATATCTCACTGTGGTGATGATCCAATCGCGCCATCAATCGCTCTAACGAAGGGCTAACGCTCGAAACGTGGCATATTGCAAACATAAAGATCAAAAAAGCGGTTACTGGGCTTTGCCATAAGAGCCTCAACTCTCTACAGTTACTTAACAACTAGTGAGTGACTAGAAAAGATTTTCAATCGCACTTACCTTACCTGAGCTAAATATTTTACCTACTGGTGAGGCCAGTAGGTAAAATATTTAGCTCAGGGTCAGTACAACCAAAGTTTCTTTTTTTTAAACGCTAAAATATTGACAACATATTTAAACGTTAAGTCAAGTACATGTGTTTTCAAATTAGGGAAACTTTCTGTCAATAATGGTTGAAAGCGAAGGTAGTTGATTAATTTATCTTACTCGACCAACACTGTTCCAATGCTGGACTCAAGCTGTTGTTTGTAACATATAGGCCCAAATTTACCAACGAATTGCCTAAATTGAGATAGATTTTGTTTTTGGATATTTTTCAGATATCACTGGTTAATTTTCAGCTGGTTAAGATGTCAGTTTTTTACCTATGTATTTTCTACCTTTCTTTCACTTCATTCGCTTGCTGTTTAT